CTGCAGCCTTGGAACTGAGCCTCTGGAACCTGCCACCTCGGCCTGCATTTCTTTTCAAACCCTCCGCAGCGTTGGCCTCCGACCTACTAGATGGCTCCCAACGTGATGGCCTCCAACCTACTTTACTAGTCATGGCCTCAGCGATGGCCTCCAAATGCCTCCAACCTACTAGCGATGGCTGGCAACCCATGCAAGAGCGATGGCCTCGTCATGGCCTCCAACCTAGAAGCAAAGGCCTCTAACCGTGAAGAGTGATGGACTCCGATACCAGGCCCCGGGCTGGACCTTTCAAAAAGTATAACATGTCTTTTGTCTGTTCTCTTTGACTTGTTTTACATATCTTGTTACTTATTTAACAAAACGTCTGAGTCAAAAACACTCTTTTTTCACTTCTCTTTCCCCGCTCACCTTCTTCTCTTTCTTTTACTAGGAACAAGAAGCTACGAACCGGGCTCCTGGCATCGCTACGAACGGAGCAAATGCATCGCTACTCGGGGCTCAAGAGCATCGCTTCGACGGGCAACCACCGGAATTAAAAGGGGTCGGCGGCACCCGGGCGAAGCCCTTACAATTAAGAGGCCACGCTGCTGCTCCTTTCCCCAGGGGCACGCAAAACAAAGCAAACAAGCAACAAACAAATACAAACAGCATGCTTCTCAAAAAGCCAGTTCAACAAGCAGCCAAGCTCATATCCCCTCTTCTGGTGCCATAATATATAGTGTACCCGAGCTTCTTCACAACAGCACCTGTCCCTGAAACCTGCCCCGCCCGGCTCAACGCCCCCGGGCTTCACTTCGGACTGCACCAGGAAGTTGTGTTCCCGACACTCCGAGGCGTAGTTCATCGCCTGGGCGCTCGGGGCTGCTCCGGTTCTCGGTGTCGAAGCTCGCGAAGCTCGGAGCAGGGAAGGGATAGCCCGGTAGCCCGATTACCTATAGGCACCTTATGATCCTTGTGGCTTCTGCTCTGAAGCAGGAGGTTGCTGGGCCCAACCCATCCCAACACCCTTCCCAAACACTGGCTAAAGAAGTCCAAGAGTTCCCTATTCCACCCTGGGGTGTGTGACAGGATCCATCAGCTTGGTTACCGCACCGTACACTGCATTGATCATCCAACAGGGGCACTTGATGGTGAGTGAAGCCTCAAAGCCCCTATTTCTACAACGATGACCTGATATGGGCGCCATGGGTGATCCAACACATGGTCGTTTCGGGAATGTGGTGATTGCCCATAAAAAGCACATTGATACTTGCACCATAATTGCTATTGGAAAATTGTTCCTTTTTTTATACTTGTCTTTTTAAAGGGCTACATGATGCTACATGTATCTCTAGTATATTGGGTCCGGAGCCGAGCTGAATAAGCCAAGAAGTATGAAGCAACCATCGAGACTCTCTCGCCAGAGTGACCCCCAATAAGATCCAAGAAGTATTGACTAAGTATTGCAAGAAACTTTGCAAGAAGTTTCGACTTTTCCAAGACGCTTTCCAAGAAGTTTTGTCTTGCTTAGCCTGCGTCCATCAGTTGCCTCCTCCGGTGCGACCGAAGCCGTCGCCTCCTCACAATTAGCTTTGTATTCCACAGAGGCGATGGCCTTCGCAACAAGGTGAGACACTTCAAAAGGAACCTCCAAGTGCTTAGAAAGTAGCGTGCAAGCAACTAACCAAAAAATCGTTGTAACATGTTGCAACATATCATCACTTACGAACACACAACTCCATTCGATTCCCAAAAACAACCGATGGATCCCCACACTCATCCATCGAGCCTCTGCCTGGCGATGGGCGGACGCCTCGTTCTCCAACTGCTGCAGGCGATGCGCCAAGTCACGGGTCCTCTGCTGTTGTTGACTCAGCTCCTCAGCGGCTGATTCAAAGCTACGGGCGGTCCTCAAGCCAACCCCTTTGCTAGGCTACCTTGAGGAAAATAATCGGGAAATTGCATTCAAGGTAAGGTTGCTCGTTTGATGATAAACAGTCCCCTCTCAAACTTGCTCAGGCTGCATCACTTCCCCAGGAATGACCTCTGGAGACCGGGAAAGATGCATTATTGAGAGGATACGCCGATACACCCCCCCTTGAAGAAACATTGTATGTGGGCCGGTGATGGTAAGTGGAGAAGCCGACTAAGTTGTGTGCATTCTGAGAATGCTCAGTAAGCAATATATGTGAAATGGGTGGCACGCCTGTGCAGTGTGACCTCTGTGTGGTGGAACTTTTGGAGCTGAGCAGGAATCTTCCTCCTTGGAGTGTGTTCTCTGACCTCCTTAGCAGGACTAAGTGGAATGTGACGAGCTGTAGTGCTTTGGATGAGCTGTGTATGGCCTAGCTTTGCTTGAGAGTGTTTGGAGATGCTTTCTTGTTCTTTGAGTGTGTTTTGGACGACTGTGACCAGTCAGACGATCTTCAGAGAAGAGTGGATGAACAGACACACAGTCAAACCGACTGTCATGTTTGGCTCAAGAGCAGGATTCAAAGTGAACATTTCAGAGAATCGTCCACAGGCCAAGGGTGGAAAACCACCACCCGCCATGGGGTCCATGGTATTCCATTCTTCTGATTGTGCCAAGGATGTAAAACTGCGGGTTAGTGGGGATACCTCTCTCTCTCTCTCGTCAACCTGTCTGGTCTTCGGATTGAAAAGGCTCCTCCGAACTGGTGATTCTGCGAACTGTTTCCCCTGGAATCTCCCCGTGGCTGAGCCCGTGGAAGCTTGGGCTGAGATGATTCTGTGGGCTGCTTTCCTATGTTTTCCTTTGTCCCTCATGGCCCCATGGCTCAATACAAGCGGCAAATGAGCTCAAGAATCGCTGGCAAAAGAAACAAGATTCGCACAAGGCACACCGTGCAGTTCCAGTCCTTAAGTCTTCCTTCGTTATTAAACGATATATATATAATATTGCTCTCCTCAACTGAACGACTTCAATTCATGGTTTTGCCCCACGTACCCTGAAAACACTGTATCCAAAAAGCCCCTACCAGCAAAGCAGGTCAGTCACTAAACACTGGTCAGAAAGTAAAGTCGAAACTCAGCTGCAAAAATGCCTCTCATCCTCCCCATACAGATTGGTAACAAACATAGAGGGTCATGATCATATCATATCCAATATTCCTTCACGATGTGGTAGTGCTGCAGGTACCATCAGCTTCAACCATCTTCAACCCACTAGACATGATGTTGCATGTACCAACAGTCAACAGCCACCGACCGGCTTCCCCGATCGCCGAAGAGTTTTCAAAACCCGTGGATCCGATTGTGCACTGCTGTTCTTCCGCGCGATATGGCCCAACTCCTTCAGGAGCACCCGCAACCTGAAAGCAATGAGGGCCACACTGCGAAGTCTACAGCGATGTGATCATCGAACACTACATAGACCGAAGGTCTTGGTTCTACTTGCAAACCTTTGTCAACCAACGGCATCCATGGAGCCAATGGTGGTGGCGTGACCCAACGTCAATGAACCTGTTCACATGAGAGAAAACGACAAACCATGGTCTGTTCCGTTGGGTCTGTGCGTGTACGTGTGTACGTGTGCTGCGGTCCAAACACAAAAGCAACGAGTCCCACTTTTCGAGCTTGGATTGCTTCATAGCACGTAAGCCACAAACAAAATTAAAGAGGCACACAATGATCCACACAACAATAACAACACATAAATAGACAGTGCACCCTTCTGATAAAGCCTCTATGCCTCTCCCCAAACGAAGAGACTTTGCCATGGACTCTCATGGCCGAGCGTCTCGGCAACATCAGGAGCGCTACGCATGAGCTCAACGCCTTCGCGGGGGCAAAGGCAGCCAAAACCCGGAACCCGTGGAACCTTCCGCCAAAAGCCTTCTAATCCACTTGCGGATTGCGCGTTCGCAGCAAGTTTGCAGAACAAATCAAGTGGAATGGATGAATTCATCTGGCCCCTTTTCTATGGAGGACTGAATAAGATAATCGCTGCGCATGCAATTGTGGTGATAACCTCCATTTTAATAACCTCCCCATCCGGACCCCTTTTCACTGCCTGGCCCTGCGACGCTGTCTCCTGAGTTCTGCAGCAGTTTGCTCAAGTGACTCGTGGTTGCGATTGTCTTGATCACACCAGCTATGCAGTGCCTGTTCTTGATTCTTAGTTGCTTGAGTTGCGTGGATGGTGTTGCACAGTTCGCGCTGGCATTTCCTGCGGTGCATGATAGGAATATCAAACTGTGTGTCTCGTTTGATGGGTTATAATAATAGTCTGCGACACTGCAGAAATATTACTATATATCATAACTTGTTTCTGTGACAATCTTGCAATCTATATATATTATATATAACTTACAGTAATTGTTGCAGGATGGTCGATTCACCAGTCAGTAGCGTACCCTGCACATGCCAAACCGGAGTCGGGTCGCTTGTACTTGGTGGCGATGCAGTGTCCTGAGGTGAGGCTGTGAGGCTGTGCACCCACTGGTGGGTGAGTTCAAAACTCAAAACCATACCAAAGGTGGCTCACCATCCCAGGCGTGAAAATACAATTTGAACACCAACAAAGTTGTCATACCAAGTGGGTCCAACTACTGTAGTTAGTTAGTTGGTTTTGTGTAGCCTCCCATGTTGAAGGAATAACTACAGGGCGTCAAAGAAATCCCTCACAAAAGAAAAACAACATGAAACATATAGACATCATAATTAGACATGTTCAAGCCCACACGCCCACAGCATACACAATATACTTTTCTGGGCAGGCGACGCAGGAGGCGTGAATCGTGAAACATACCTTTCTGACTCAGCTGTTCTCAAACTCAAATGAAGGAAAAAACACGTCCGCCAACAAGTCCAAGAAAGATAGAACCTTGAAACTCATCATTCTCACATCCTGAATCGCACCTGTCTTCACATGTCAGACTCACCATGGGATCAATCAGGATCAGCACCGTATTGCACACCAGAATTCTCACCACATATGCCTTGTACCCCCATCTGCTATAGGCTCTCCGAACTCACATTTGCAACCTACACGTTGACTCAACAGCATCTGTCTTACACAAAATATGCAAATGATCTACAGTCACTAGATGAGATGGGACTTTATGATCCAAAATTCAGCAATGTACATCTAACCTTAATCCCTTCCACCACCACCATCACCACACGCAACGCGTGAGTAAAACACTGCGCCCAGGGGCTGCTTCGCCCAGGGACAGCTCCACCTGCCTCATCTCGCACTCGCGGAACCTGGGCATGTAAGGGCGAAGTGCATCATTGGAGAAACAGCCCCAGAGTCTTATGGTTGTGACAATAGTTGTGATTCTCACTATATAGCTATCACCAAAAAAGCGTCTACCGTCTACCTGAGTAGCTAAAGAGCCAGCAACATACCGTTGTGAAAGGAAAGACTTAGAATCATTTAGAATCATTGAGGCTGGTCCTGTGCTTTTGAATTACGCAATGGAGGCTTGCTCACGCGACATCGAGGCGTTTGGTCCGATTCAGAATCATCGTGCATCAACACACCAGTCCATAGACCAGCCGGGCATTGCAGCTGCTACTCCTTTGCGCTGAGACGTTGCCGACACCATGAGGACGGTCCAAGGTCGCCGAGGAACTCCAAAAGGCCAAGAACATCTGCCTCGCACTCCTCTTCCTGGTCGAAAGCACCGTCCCTTCTTGCAGTTTCCCCAAAAAGACTTCACTTGCATCAGAAGGAATGGAATGGATTCAGAGTATCATAGAGAATCTGTTCAATCCCCAAAAGATAACACCTCTCAAAGCCCGTCTCCAAGTTCAAAATCACATCTCCTGTGCTGAGCAACTCCTTGTGTGCTGGTGTGGGTTGAACCGAATTCAATCAAAAACTCCCATACAATGTGCAACACATGGTTGTCCATGGTAGCTTCTATGCTTCTGACAATCTGCACTCCTAAAAAGCACCTTTATCCATGGCAAACACACACAAACAGCTACCCATTAAATGAATTCAATCCAGCCCCAAGTGATGCCATGAGTGCTTCGGTCCAGCTGCTCCCCCTGGACCCAGTGGCCTTCTCGGCGGTGCGTCGCACCTGGCGGAGGCTCTGCTCTTGGTTCGAGGCCGCCACCTGAGAGCGAAGCCGTGGATTCGATTTATGGGTCAGCTGATGAGACCAACAAGCACCCCCTCTTCTTGCTGAAGTGCCCAAGAAACAAAACAATACACTATATTATAAAACTTATAAGGCACCAGTAGTTATACAGCATTAGCCTGCCAAATCCTGAAAACAATAAGAGCCTTCGACTTCGATGTCCATTGGGGCTGAAAGCTTCCGTCGTTGCAGAACTCGACGGCAAGGAACTTGACATCTTCACCAACACAGCTCAGAGTCTGCCCTCATGTGAATGATCTGGATTTGGGGCTCATGCTTTGCAACTTCTGAAGAGATCCCGGAGAGATCGTCAGATCTGGTCGTTCGGTCACCCGGCCTCTGCCAGGTGCAGCTTCTCCCATGTGGTCTTGGCCTCAGGATGGCCAGGTTACTAAGCTGGGAGCTTTTTTCCGTGATTCGCCCAAAGAACTGCATAGTTCCGCGTCTCTTGTGTGTTGAGGTTGCTAATTGGTGATCACATAGTTAGCGTGGTCAGCAATGGAATTCTCATGGCATCGTGCCCACCTAAGGAGTGAATGATCAACACCACTGATCCATCACACCACCTACCGCAACCTCTCTCTCATCTCACGTATCCACACAACTCATGAACAAACTACAAGTGCTGCGGCTGATTCCCCACCTAGGGGAGTTGCATGTGCCGGATTCAAAAGAACCACACTTGGGCAACATAAGGAAAGCACGCAACAGAACTGCGAAAACATGCAAACACACAATTCACAGCTGCTTGTCCGTTGTTTGTCTGCTGGAGCTGCTTGAGATATCCAAAAAAACATTAAACAAAAAAACAGCATCACATTTCTACATCGGACCCTCGCATCGCACTGCGACAAAACACCCACAAACTGTCCTCAGGCGCCACGCCAAGGCCATCTGCTCCTTCTCCTCTGCGTCGGCCCGTCGCAGCTTCCGGTCCACCACAGTCTGCAACGTGTGATTGAGATGCCCTCTATAGCGGTGGAAGGGGTGATGAAAACAGGGAGGGTTGGGGGCAGAAACAAACAGTATGAGAAAAACACTCGTGGTTGAAAAGCTTTCAACATCTGAAACTGCTTGGTCGAGTACACATATTTGTTTTTGCAAGCAGCAGGAATGGAAGTGCACAAACAGTGTTTGAAGGACTATGTAAGTTCATGTAAGTTCATTCTAATTTCACCACTATCTTGTTCAACAAGTGTGTTGCGCATGTGCACTTTTAAACCTGGGGGGATCTTAATTTCGGTAATGGAATAATAATATTTAACAGATTTCCGTCGATTGAGCAACAGCTTGAAACCAGCAGGTCTAAGCAAACTGTAAACTGGTCGCCTGCTGCATTTGCGAGGCCATCATCTCAGCTTTCACCTGCAAATGAATCCCGAAATGAGGCAACCAGTAACCAGCCACTCGCCAATGGTAATTGGCCATTGCCACTGAATCGAGTTTGTCTGCCAAACATGTAGATCAATTCGTGAAACCACAGAAACCCCAAAAAAAAACTGAAGATCAATATCAAATCATCCAAACAAAATCCTTGCGGCTCGCAATGCGCGCCGTAGAAAGGTCATCGTTCTCATTGGACTGGGCGGCCTGGCAGAGGTTTGACATAGAATCTAGAGACCCCGCGGACCCCTGTTATTCAACTACACCAAAATTCTGGGTTGATTGGGAAATCAATTTGGGGAACCCTTTTTTTTAACCCCCCAACCTCTTTTTTTTAACCTACCACCTTTTTTTCAACCCCCCGACCCTTTTTTTTAACACCCAACCACTTTTTTCTAACCCCCAACATCTCTTTTTTAACCCCCCAACCTTGTTTTTTTAACCCCCGACCTTTCTTTTTTAACCCCCAACCTCTTTTGGACACCCGGCCCTTACTTTTTGAGAGCTGGAGGGGGGTTGTCGTTGTCGTTGTCGTTGTGGTTGTGGTTGTGGTTGGTGTTGCTGTTGTTGTTGTTGTTGTTGGTGGTGGTGGTGGTGGTGGTGGTGGTGGTTTTGTTGTTGTCGTTGTTGTTGTTGGATTTGTTGTTGTTGTTGTTGTTGGATTTGTTGTATTTTGTTGTTGTTGTTGTGCTGCAGTTTCGGAGGGCTGGGTGTCTACAGGCGTGCGCAACACGGAGATGAGGGGCGCATCTCAAGAAAGCGCGAGTGGGTGCGGGGGAGCGCGCAGACGAAGTCCGGGAACACACACATTTGACAGCTGCAAGTGGGTGCGGGGGAGGGTGCAGAGGAGGTCCGGGAACACACACATTTGACAGCTGCAGTTTCGGAGAGGCAGGTGTCTACGAGCGCGCGCGCAAGACGGAGAGGGGGCGCACCTTAAAAAAGCGGGAGGGTGTGCGGGGGAGGGCGCAGCGCCTCCCCCGCGGGGCGAGCGAAGCGAGCCCCCAGCGACAGCATGGTGATACAAGGGTCCGTCAAAGAGAAAATATAGACGTGCGCAGCGCCGTTGTCGAAGGGGTGGTTTGCGTTGCTGTTGTTGCTGTTGAACACGTGCGCAGGCGTCAGCGGGGCTGATTGAAAACAAAGGAAGCTGGAGGTGGGCTCGGGGGGAGGGCGCTGCGCCTCCCCCCGAAGTCAAGCAAAGGTACTTGCTTCGCTTGTTGTTCTTGGATTTGTTGCTGCTGCTGCTGTTGTTGTTGTGGTTGAGCAAGTCCCTTTGCTTTGAATTCGGGGGGAGGCGCTGCTTTCTTTTTTTCACACACTCCGCTTGACGATTGCGCACGTGTTCCACAACTCGGGGGGAGGGCGCAGCGTTTTTTCGAAGTCAAAGCAAAGGTACTTGCTTTGCTTGTTGATGTCATGGCACGCACGCAAATGCTGCGCATCAGTGACATGCGCTCCATGCGGTACATGGGACATTGCGTAGGGGCACTGTCTACTGCCCACAAATGGACCTCACCCCTAGCAAGGCAACAGAGCCTCGGTATTCCTCGATTACCCTTCCCCAGCATTCGAAGCACGAAAGCTATGCGCTATTCCATGTTCCTCCCTCCTCCGTTTATCGGCACTCCTGACTAACCGACCGATAGCGACAGGCTTCAGTGCCACAGCACCCCTCCCGCCTTGCCTGCCTCCTTCTCAGTGCGGATGTAGCTCCTGGACAGGTTTGCATATTCGGAGGCTCGCGGTGACGTGCGTTGCTACATTCCAACCCGGTTGCGCTCACCTGTCACCCCTTGGTGCACCCTCTGCGTTTTTCTTTTGGCGCGCTCGATTGTCTAGCGCTTGCGTTTGCGCCCACGAGGCCGTTGGACTGGGATGTTCTGCAAATTAGCCGTTGGATCACCATGCAAGGCTTTGATGTACAGCACATGCTCACAATCTGCAATGAACTCTCTGCACGTGCACAGCCTTCCTGGCACCGCTTTTTTCAGTTTCCTGTGCACGCGGGGCCAAGAAGCATGGACGAGGTGGCCTTCCAACACTGCGCAGTAGCCTTGCAGGTACTTGTGCAGCTGCGCCACATCCAGCTGGTCATTTGTTACAATTCCTGATTTGGCAAGCCATGTGGCCAGCTGTGGCCCTTCTGAAGCTATGAGGTTGCCAACCATCTCTGCTACCTCTTTGGTCACTATGGCTTCAGCCGCTGTGAGTTTCTCCCGGGCTTTGGTCTGCAGGACCCAAAAAGTAGTGATCCCGTCCTTGCTTGTGCTGCTAGGTTCCCCAGTGCGGATGTGGACTTGGCGGTAGTTGCGATTTTGGCACAGGCGGGGCTCGCGATTCAGCCAAAAATCCACCGCTGGTGATCGGCCTGCTGACCGCAAGCTTTGACTGTTGAACAGCGCTTCTGCTGAACCAGCGGGCCAGGTGACCACTACTTTCTCTTCACCCCACGCAAACTTCGTGGCCCAATCATTTTCGAACAATTTCTCCATGGCACCGAAAACTTCTGCAGGCGATTGCCTCAATTGACCTTTGACAGTGTCTTGCCAATAGGAATGAAACGATTCCAACGGCTGCGTGCCAGAGCTGGTGCCGGGATAGGTCCCCAAGATTCCGCCCCAGAAGCCACCGAACCAAAGGCCGTCCGCTCCCCACAATGTGGATGTGCAGCTCAAGCCTTTCTGCAAGCTGTCCACTGAAACTTTTTGAAAGTACGTGGTGCGGAGATATTCTGCGGCTTTTGGACTCTTCGTTTGAAGCCATGAGAAAGCCAGCTGCCAAATAGCATCGAACAGTTGGATCGTTGGGGCTTCTCGGCTGATATGGATGATTTGTTCCAGTTTGCCAAATGCGTCACAGTCCTGTGTGCTCAACGCAGCCTCTGGGTGTGCCACCGCCTCTGTCGCAGCCTCTTCTGCTACAAGGCCCTTCTTGCTCCTGCCCTTCTTCTTTGGCGCCCTGAAGTGCGCAGGCAACAAATGCGGTTGGTTCTAAGATAACATGCCCTACTTGCTACACTTGCGCTGCAACAATTGACTGCCTTTGACTGAGGCCCTGACGGACGCGCATTTGCTCGTGGCTTGCGTGGCAAATGCTTTTCCAACACCTTGTAGGATGCTCGGCGCATGTGCGCGTAGTCATCGCAAGGCCTGGAATAAGGAAAGACCTTTCGACGGGAAGCTTCGATGCCTTTGGCATAGTCTTTGTGCACCTGCCACACCTGTTCCCGAAGATCGAGGCCGCACTCCTTCTCGGCCAAAGCGCACGCTTCCAGGAAAATCTGGGTCATATTGGCTTCGGATTCCGAGTTGACCAAGGCTTGCAAGAATGGTTCTTGCGTGGCCGTGTGCGCACTGACTGACTTGGTGTGGGTGGCCCCTACCCAGGTTTTGCTTGGTGTGGCGCTGCTCACCAAGAAAGACAACGTGACAATGCCATACTCATTGGAAACTACCCGCTGCTTCGCATCCACAGCCAGCTTCACGACCTTCTCCTTCAAAGCCTGCGCGCGTCGTAGCATGCCTGGACATGTCCACATCACGCAAACCCGCTCTTCATCAAAGGTCGAGGACGGCAGCACTATCAGCCTCCAAGCCTTCCAGGATTGCCATGCATCCATGTGCGCAGTCATGTGCAGCATCGCCGCGTTTTGCAACTGGCTCACTGTTAGCTTGCCCTTGCTGCACTGCTGCGGGCCACCGCGGTTGAATCTTCCCACAAAGTTGTGCAATTGGCGATTGCTGCAGCGAAGTGTCAAACCGCTCGCCTGGAACTTGTCCCGGATGTCTTTGGAGGTCACCAGCGGCCGCTTTCCTTCCAAGTCTGACAAAGCTAATGCCTCTGCACATGTCCACAAAGCTCCTCCTTGCGGAGGCTGCAGCTTGCCATGGGAACCTTTCTGCTCCACACACAGGACTGGCCCTTTGTCAGTGAAGGTCAACCTGCCCTTCACTTTCTTAGTGCAGTCTGCACATGCAGTGGGCTTGCAGATCCCTAGCACATGTCTGGCCCCGCTTGCCAACTTCTTTTCATGGAAGGTGTAGATGCCAGGATCCCTGGCTTCGCCCAGCGATCGCTCCATTGCGTTTCGCATGCCCGTGTAGGTTGCGGCATCTGTTGAAGGGCTCCCATGGAACAAAACGGACCACGTCCCACTTTCTGTCTCCTCCTCAGCAGTTCCCACTTCGACCTGCAAGTCGGGCTCGCCCTTCTCCCCCGCGCTGGTTGGATTGGACATGGAGGACGACCTGCAGGCACGCAAACAAAACTAGTGCGCGTGCTGTCAGGGGTTGCCATGTTCACACGCACACACACACACACACTGGACCACAACTCTTTCCACGCCCGCCTCGGCATGCTTTCTGCCGCTGGCTTGGCGGAGCTCTGGTCATGCCCTGTCCTGGGCAGAAACCACGCACGCTCCGGACCCTGCGCCGTTTTTTTTACTTCTCGATTTCTCGATTTCTTGGCTGGCTCACATTTTACCTGCTACGTCCACCTGCCTTGGCTTGCTATGCTTACATATTAACCCACAACTTTCTTCCCACGCCCGCCTCGGCCCGCTCTCTGGCGCAGGCCTTGCGCGGCTCTCCGCAGGCCGTGTCCTGTCACCAAACCACGCACTATCCAGACCCAAGGCCATAACCTTTGTCGCCCACACACTTCTGGGCTTGCTTCCCATTTATACTCTTCGTTTTCCACTACATATGACACTCACACACACACACACTTCCCGACCTCTCTCCCCTTGCGCCTTTCTGCCCTCCGAGCTTGACGGGCATCTGCTCTGCGCGGAGGCCCAAAAGACCAGCTAGGCACACCCATTTCTTTCAGACCTTCTTTCGCTTCTCTGGACAAATCTGCAAAGCAACCCTTCACAAACACATCTTGCACCTCGCCGCCGCAAAGTTGCTCCCTGACTTCTCCAAGCCCCCGTTCAACCAATAACCCCATGACTTCTTGATAGGCTGCCTCTTTCCACATGGGCGAAGGCAACGCGCGAAAATGTGCCCCACAGCGACGCGTCCATTCGGCACACCAGCCCGAACCCACCAAGGCTCTGAGTAGCTCCGCCATGGCCTCCACAGCCTGGCCGAGATCGAGCAAATCCACGCCCACAGCACAACCATTATATAACCACCACATACAGTAGACATGTGCATGCGTTCCCGCGTCTTCCTAGGCGCTAAGCATTCGACTCCTACCACCCCTTGCGGCATCTTATAACCCTACACCCTTCCTCCCAGCACCTCGGACATTGGCCTCTTGGGCGGTAGCCGTGCTAATCGAGCTTGTCGACGCATGTCCACCTCCAAGATAGCAAGACCGTACAAGATGCGTTCCTGGAAGCATAAGGTTGCCATCTTGAAGCTCTCCGCGGTCAATTGCCCACTCCAAGTAGGCAAGCTCGCAGAGCTCCTCCGGGTGGCATTCTTTGACTCCCTATCTCTCTCTCCTTTCTCTCTCCCTCCCCTCTTTTTCTTTCGCTTGAAGCCCCAACAGCAACCAACACACGTACGGAATCCAACTGCAGCCAAGGCACCTGCAGCCAATCGGCCAAAGGCCCTCCATCAATGTGCCAAAAAGCGCAACCGTGCTCACCCAGTAAGGGGCCTTGTGCAAGCCCGCAGCCATAGTCTCACCAAAGAAGGTCTTCCTGGTCACATCGTTACATGCGAGCCTGTACTGGAAGAATGCTTCTTTCAATGGCAGCGCCAGCTTCCATTCTTGCGCGGGAGCATCCATCGCCAGAGGAGCCTTGCCGCCCACTGATTTCAGGACGGCTTCAAAGATACGGCGCAAAATGGGCATGACAACCTTCTTCTCGAAGCCTTGCAGGCTAGGTGGGCCTGGATCACGCAAAGCACCGAACGAGAACATGCACCGTTGCACCAAACCAATTTTGAACCGTGCTTCGCCGGCGACCCACCAATTCTGCCACACGGACAGCTGCTGCAGCAGCGCAATGGTCACGTTGGTTCTTTGTGCCGGAACACCTTTGACCGGAACCACTCTCTCTTCTGCCGATTCTTTCTTGGCTTTTCGGTCAAACGCCGTTTCCCACGGCACCTCTCCTCCTGCAGCGCTGTCGAGGAAGCGCGCAAAGTTGATGTGCGTAGTCTGGTTCCATGTGCCATTTTGTGGAAATGCAGGGCAAAGCAGCGGCCCACCTTCTCCAGTTATGAGCGTGGCATAACTGTGGCCTTCAGCTTGTCAACGGCCGTGCAATGGGTTCCTGGCCCAAGCAAATGGAATTTGTCCCATCCACACCCTGCAGCCAAGTGAGGGTTTTGCTCCAGCACACTTCTGAGACACTCAACCATGGGGTCCACAGCCGGGCTTTTCCCACTGCCTGGACGGGCCGTGCCAATGACCCAGTATCGACTGCGGCACGGGTACCCAGCCACGTCAACAGAGATGTCCTTGTGGAGCAAGCCCATCAGAAGTGAACAGAAAACATCGTAGTAAAACACTGTAGGCGTGCAGGTGCTCCGGCTCCATGCCTCTGTAAGAACAAGCAGTGGGTAGAACGCTGTCCGCCACAAAGGGTATTGCAGCTCCACTGCTTGCCTGCCGCCCAGCTCATCACTTTCAAAACCACAAATGAGCGGACGCAATTGGGCCTGCACTTCCGCCAGGGAAGTTCCCACAATCTCTGCCTGCGCACGGTGTAGCACATCCACCAACTTTATTCTGATGAATGCGACACCTACACATCCCACTGTCTCTCAACTGCCCCAACCTTTTTGGATCTAAAATTATTAACCACAGTGGACTGAGCTCCCGACACTGTAGTGCGGCAACCCGGCGAGGAAAGCCTCCACATCCTCACCGGTTTCGAAGCGCCGCAAGCACGCTGCCACATCCATTTCAAACTGCAGAGTGCCATCCACGCCATCGGCGAACGGCAACAGCTGCACGCGTCCTTCACGGGCGAAGGACGGCGAAGCTTTCACAGGGAGCTCTTCCTCCCGCACCTTTGGCACTGCAGCCTTTCAAGGGCGCAGCAGGCTCTGCATCTTTTTGTTCTGGCAACTGTCCAGCCTGCTCCACTCCAATCTTAGCAGTACCATGCCCTCGCGCAGCCGCGCAGGTTTTCTCGTACAGTGCCAGCACGACACCCTTCTCCACACTGTCTGGGAGGCTTCTGCACAGCGTCACCACAGCATCATCGCACCGCAACCAGTGCTCTCTTTCCTTGCACCAAGCAACAAAATGCCCCCGATCCACGTTACCTTTCCTTCCTCTCTTCTCCCTTTTGTTTTCCGTGCTCGGAAGGTGTTCAACTAAAGCCACAAAGTCATACGATGACCCGTGGACCTCCACGGATCCAAGGCACTCAATGGGGTGCTCATTGCGCTGCTGGCGCATTGTGACGCAGTCCACAGAACTGTTGCGGGGAAATTGCACCACTAGCAATTCGGGGCTAGACACTGGCGCGGAGCACTGCAAGACTTCCTTCCGGGCCCCACAAGCCTCACATCGCAACCCTTCAGCCAACCACTCATTGGCAAAGGTTTTTGCGATGAGATCGTTGGCGGTTGCGCGCTCAAACTGCTCATTGTCTGCAAGGATCAAATTCCATGCTTCTTTCTGGCCAGTCTTTGCCACGATGTCGTGCAGGGTACACGTTTCAACGCAGCACCTGTGCTCCTGCTGCCGCTTCACCTCCACTGCAAACAAGCCAGGCCTGATGCCTTCCACCTGCAACCAGGGCGGAGCTGCGGCCCCACCTTCACCCCACGGGAAACCTCTATTGTTCTAATCAAACTACTTGCAAATCCTCGTATTTTGCCTTTCCCCCATGCCCCGCCAGGCCTCCGTGCACAGAGCCAAGGCAAACTCTCCTGCACTTTCTTGCGCTCCACCAGCGAAGCCCATTGTTTGCAGAAGTGGCTGCCACATGCGCATGACTTCGGCATCCGCTTGATGAAACTCCCGGGCGGCATTTGTTTGCCACAGCAAGCAAGCAACACATGATCCTTGGCAACGCTTCTGGGCAACATGCGCGCGCAACCACGCACATAAATGCTTCGAGTGGAAAAGCATCTGGAGGACACTGTTGACGAAGCAAGTATTGCCAATGTTTGTCAATCCCACGCCGTAAACTCGGCCCACTTTCGGCTGCTTTCGGCGGCCTGCCGTTGATCTTCTACTGCTTCCTTTCTTCTTGACGGTCGCTTTCACCCGGCACCTCGACCGCGGTCCTGCACTGCCTCGCCGCCCTTGGGCACTATACCAGATACGAGTCCACCCTATGCACCCCCACTTCTGGCGGAACACCACCGGCTCTAACAACTCTTGCACGTTGGTGAGCCACAAGGCAAACGTGTTTTTGTATGGAAGTGTCTCCGTCTCTAACTTGTGCTCACCACGCAATGCCACGAACTCTGCCAAGTCGATTGGTTGACTCTTCACAATGGTGGCCTTGCCATACACTCGGTTGCCTTGCACTAACCACACGTGCCCAAGCTTGGCTGCCTGCCCTCGCAACTCGACGCATTTCTCACCATTCAAAATCCGAAGCAGCCACTCCTTCTTCAACACCAATCCACGCTCACCTTCGGCCGGCTTGCCCTGCATCCGTCCTACTGCCGGTGCGGCACCTGCGCTCCCACCCACCACATGGCAGTTTCTGAGACCGCATTTTTGGTGGTCTTCGTGTCCGACTGAGACGAGGGTTGCCCACCGCCAGCTGCACCTACCGAGGCACCAAGCAAAGGTGACAAGGCAGAAGGATCCACGGAGAGACCATAAGACAAGAGTAGCACGAAGAAAGCCGACCCCGCACGGCAGCATGCACATTGCCACCATGAGCCAGAGGATGTCAGGCACGCCTTTCGGTTGCTGCCGCATCTTCCTCTGGCAACACCAGCGGCCACGGACTTTCACTACCTTCTTGCTCCAGCTGCTTCCATTCGAAGGCAATGATGGCAAAGCACCAAGCAGAACCCCAGCCAAGAAGCCCATCAGGCAGTATGCGGAGACCAACGCCATGCTGGCTTTCGTCTACAGGCAATATATATATATATATTTGATGGTACTTGGGTCCAAGTTGGTGGTATTTGGTTCCAAGATTCGACTTGATTGAACTAGCTTTGTTAAAGGCTTTCAGTCTTGAAAGTTGTCACATTCTTCAAGAGATACACAAGCCACCGCCTGCATTATACTTGTGGTTGACAGGTACTTTGCAATCGCGTTGCCGATAGGAGGCCGCCCCATGAAAGTGCAAGTGGCCGCAATTGTGGTTTCCTTTGTCAGCTATCACTTCAACAAAAACGACACTCCGCGGCACGTCGCCAGAACATGTGCCTCTTGTTTCACACAGGCCATGTGAACATGTGTCCCACGTGCCTGCATACAGGGCATGCTCCTCCAACGTCTTGCCACCGCACCTCAGCGACACTGGTCGTACAGCCCGAACCAAAACCTTTATGCAGCTGATTCTCGGTGTGCTGATTTGATTACCTTCCGACCTTCCCGTTACACTCTCTTCATGACTAAAGTTACCCGGGCTCCCCTCTTACTTCGAGGTAGTTCGCGCAGAGAAGACGGGTAGGGGGGGACGTCCTTTTACTTGGCGCCATGAGTCTGCTCCTTGCGGCAACGTGTTTTCAAGGCGCGCGCGTGCGCGCCTGCTTCTGCTTCTTGCGGCAACATGTTTTCGCGGTGCGCGGCCGCTGCAGAGCCGAGCGGCAGACAGCATGACACACCGGGGTCCGCTACTTGAGCCATGCTTCTTGAGTCACCTGCCGCTATGGAGCCGAGCCGTGCAACAGCGTGACGCCCCCACGTCATCACGGCAAGTGGGCTGGCGCAGCGTGCTGGGTGGGCTCTGTGTAAGTGGTCCGAGGGCATAGGCACTCGCAGGCAAGGGTCAGGGGTTAAAAAAGCAAGGTCAGGGGTTAAAAAAAAAAGGTTGGGGGTTAGAAAAAAGCGCTCGGGGGTCAGAAAAAGGGGTCGGGGGGTTAAAAAAAAGAGGTCGGGGGGGGTAAAAAGAAAAGGTCTGCAGGGTTAAAAACCATTGTTTTGAAGGGTGTTTAAAAAAAGGGTCGGGGGGTTAAAAAAAAGTGGTAGGTTAAAAAAAAGAGGTTGGGGGGTTAAAAAAAAGGGGAGCCCAATCAATTTGTTTCACTGCTGTTTGCTTTTTGGCTTACTGTATGATGCACCTTCACCTTGATCCTCTTGCACCAACTCCTCAGGCCTCTCGTAGTTCGACCTCCAGCTTGTCGGTGGTGTCCTCTCAAATTGCCCCACGCATACTGAGACCCTTCAATGGCTTGAAACAGTCCTATTGTTTCAGGGATCCAGCATGGAAATCTCAGTCGGTGGCAAAGTCCAGTGTGAAGTTCAAACTGTATAGCACAAAAACACATTTTAGGAATACTCGTCACCACTGAAAATACTGGCCCACTGAACAACCATGCGGCATGAATAGCCCACTGAATTGGGCAATGGCGCAGAAAGTTGCTACAGTCGGCCACCATCAACAACAAATATAGACTGAATATACTCCCAGCATCTCACATTGAAGTACCTAGAGATTTTCTGCTTTGCAAAAACTCCTTGTATCTCGACTATCTCGATAACAAATCAGAAAGCATGTGCGGCCATGCTGTTGAGGTATTTTGCTGTTCTGTGGTCCAACCATGGCTTCGTCACTCTTCTTCATCCGAATCCGTGCTTGTCAGACCTTGTTCGCCAAAAATGTCTTAGTCCGTCATTATCCATCAATTCGGATATATTCGGACCCTTCCGGCATTTGCGTCCTGCATCTGACAGCAAGCATCGAGCTCGGAGTCCAGATGCCTCTGGAGCTTCAGCTGCTGCTGCGGCAGGTCCTGCAGGGTTTTGCTTCGCACATCCGGGCTTGCTCAGCCCAGTTGCACAAAGGATCACAAAGGTGAAATGTGGATGCAAGAATTTCTCTGTGGCAAGTATGCCATGCAATGGTTTCCCACAATCTCAAAAGTCCTATTCATGATCTCCCTGCTTCCACTGGAATCGTCTTTGTCTTTTGGCCCCTCGTCGCGTCCTTGGCACTTTCGGTCTCCTTGTGCAGCTCCTGCTGCAACAGTTGGCACTCCGCCTGGCCAACATTGAACAAAGCGTCCGGCCAAGTGAAGCGAGGCGTTGCAGCAATATTCTTTGCTTTGAATCATGGGCTCCTCTGCCTTGCTCTAATCAGTTGGAAGCTGGTACTGGGAATCCCTTGGCTTGGCTTCGTGTTACGTTGGCAACTTGAGTCTAAGCTTCCTCCGCCCAGCCTTCCTCTGCCGCATCTCATCGCCATAGCTGCGCTGCCACTTTTGGATCTGCAAACTGGTCTCGGCCGCTTGCTCCTGCCGATGGCCCCGTCATACATTGGGCCCAGCGGGATATGTTGATGAGCCTGCCCTACGGAAAACAAATCCGCTCCTAGTGAGTGCCCTGAAGGCTTGCTGAATTGCCTTGTCCATACAACATAGACAACCCGGTTCCAACCAATCCCTGCCTCTTCAGCAGCGAAGTCAACCATCACCGCGCGGAGTTGCACCTGCAAAGCCTGCAAGCAAATTGTCTGATGGATGGCACTGGAGCAGCTAACTATGTGAGAAAACACCCATCTGCATCTCATCTTAGGATCCTCTATACGGTGATGCTTCTCAGAGTCCGCCATCGGTCAATCACAACTGCATTGGCGTCGCTGCTTGTGCGGTCAGCCGTCATCACTCAGCCTTCTCACTGTTCTTGAAACCCTCGACCGCTAGCTCCTCCGTCTTGCATTGCTGCTTCATCTCCTCGACTAGCTCCAACAAATTCCAACACGCCGGAGCCCAGCAAAAAGGTTGACTCTTGAACTGCATAGCATACGGGTCCACAAATAAGTATAGCCAGTATAGCTTCACCAACAACTACTGTAATAGATTCTGGGGACGACCATGGACGACGTACGAGAAAAATCATAGAAAATCAGTCACCTCACGATGCGACTCACACCTGCCACACTCTTAACCTGTCTAATGGACATGTTAGTACAAAAAGATGTGGGATCTCCCTGTGCATGATCCCTGGCCTGGATTTCATCCTGGAGAAAGTCTGCCACGGATTTGTATGCCTGAGCCCATCTCCAAAGCAGTGTCCCTGTGGCACTGGAGGGCCCATGAAAGTCCCACTTGGTTGTCGAAACATCTGACAAAGTCCGTCAGTATTCTGCTGTGGAATCCTTGGGTTCCAAATCGGTTGGGTATGTTGAGCATAGAAACTCACTCCTCCCACCGAGCGTCGGTCATCTCCCGCGGCGTCCGCGGCGTGGGCGGGTTCGACTTCCCAGAGGCGTCCACGTTTGGCTCCGCATGGCCTGAGCCATTGGGCCATAGGGCCATGTTGTTCAGAAGGGGTCCGTACGGAACCATGTTCTTCAAGTTCGTGTGCATTGCGCTAGATGATCTTCCTAAGGTTCAAAGGCTTCTCAGCTTGTCATCTAGCCTTCTGCCCATCCAACCATCCGCCCCTGTCTGGAGGTTAAAGGCCGGCAAGCGGCGCTCCTGCGCCTCAGCAAGGGCCATGAGCCGTTGCAACGCGGCGCCCAGTGCCATCTGCTTGGGCCTTGGGAGATCAAACCCGCGCGGAGGTAACTGAAGAATTGGGAAGCATAATATGCCCTGGATATCCCTGGATACTACTGTATATCCACATCTGATTCTGAGACATTTTCAATCATCCATGGGCTGCATTGGCAACTTGGACCTTCGCGGCGCTGGAAAATATAATAAGCATCCTTGGCTCATCTGAGCGTCTCATTCAGGTTCATGATGGCTTGCACAGCAGCTTCCTGGGCGTTTGCACTGGCAGGACTCCTTGAAAACCTGGTCTGATTCAGCCATGGTGTGGCAGTCATACAGGCCAAACCGTCATTGAACACAAGTCCGTAAATAGGAGACTCGATTGAAAAGTAAAGCGGCGCATGTTTGAATTGTCTTGGCCTCACCATCCAAAGCGGCCCTTTACACAAAAAAGTTCCATGTTTTCCCATCCACAATCTCCCCATCTTGTCCGTTCGGCCTTGCGGGGGCCCTCCACCGCGGCCAGCAGCACGGCTTCAGTCAGGGACCGCAAGAGCTTCGGCTTGCAGAAGGCTCCGTTGTGGATGTTCCCTGCAAGCCTGGCCGGAACCACGTGGAAAAGAACAATGACCAATCCACCCGCTTGTTTTGCTGTTAAGCACCTTAGACAGGTTCAAACCACCTGTCCGAGACATTATGTTGGAGAATCTGTTTCAGTTGAAGACCTCCCCAAGTTGACCCATCTTGGCTGGGTGCCAGGGCCTGGGCAAGGAAATCCGCTCACCAAAGTAGCTGCTAAGACAGGAGTGCAAAAGCTTGGCGCTGCCTGACCAAATCAATGGGGATGGGCAGGTCATGGAATATCAAGCACATCTTCTAATACTGACGCACTGGATTTGTAACGCGAATGCACTTGGGATTGTCTCAAAAATCTTGGAAGTGGACCCATATTCAGTCTATTCACCCTTCAGCTACCGACATCAAACGTCGTCGGCGTTGTCGGTAACCAATCACCCACCTGCAGCGCTGTTCTGAGGATCCACCTCAGGCGCATAGAGCTGCAGCACATCCTGGGCTAGCCACACGGGTTACTTACCCCAACGTGCTGACAACCCTATATAGACCGTTTAGTATTCTGAATTGGTGACAAACCTGGCTTGCAAACAGGAACCAACGAGATTGTTCCTGCCAACCCCCTCCTTGTTGATTGGCCCTAGAACTGCTAGCAGCTTTAACTGAGTCCTACTTGAGCATCGTCGAGGGACTGCTAGAATGGCGCCATCTGCTAGGTCATCAAACTCCTCCACATCTGCATCGGGGCAACCTTGGCAACAAAATGCAATCAGTGACAGCAAACAAGGTCAGGCCCACATACCGGGTAACACCGGGTTCTTCAAAAATTCCAGCCATCCAGAAAGAGTTGTGTTTTTTTCATAAGGATCTTGAATCCCCCTATCCCCCTATTTCAAATTTGTTGATTGGGCTTCTGACATGAGCTAACCTGAATGGATGTGTTTTATCTTGTTCCTGGAGGCTGCCAATGCCGAACTTCACGTGACAACATTGAAACTATAGAGGTGCACGGGGTCGGAAACGTGACGTGGAACAATTCTTGGCCATTTTTTGTTGAAGAACTCGGTATGTCCACCCATAGTTCAATCCCCTGCCATTGGTGAGCAAAAACCATAGAATGTATGTTAGGAGTCGGCTCTGTAGCTGATTAGGTGTCGGGGATGCGACCAAAGGGCAAGCATTGATCCAATCAATCAATGCTTCCAGCTCTTCAACTTCGCTCCTGGGCAATCAATGACCCCGTGGCTCCATAGTGCAAACAAAGGTCGGCAGGAAACACCATGACAACCATGTTGCCATCGAAGCTAATTACAGGCGACAAACTCAGGTTTCGGGTAACATTTCCATGTCAACAAGCACAAAAACACATCAAACAAGGCAAGTACATGCAGTAGTATAGATATAGAATGAATTAGAATAATAATATATATAGATAGATAGATGGACTTAACAACCGCCTTTGTGTCGATCACTGCCATCAACCCCATCTTCTTTTGGATGATCAATCTGCTAAGCCGCTACCCTACCTCCCACTTATGCCATCCTTCAGCCGAGCTTCATCCCAGCAGCCACTGGCCCCGCCAGCACGCAGAAATGCGCCCCATCATGCGCCCCGGTGGCGCGCAAAGGCGCAGCCAGGGGCAGGAGTGATTCTCTGGGCGGAGTCGGAGTCAGATGAGTCAGTGAATGTCAAGGTTGTCAAGGATTGGAGGATGATGCAGAAGCAAAAATACTGTTTATCCACCGGCCATCCACAAACATCGTCAGACCTATGCGTCATCAGTCATCAGTGGTGACTTTACTTGGCACACTTCATGGCTCCACGACAGCTTCAGCTTAAACAATGGGACCTGCACTTATGGCGACCATCAAGTCCATGCTTAAAATGTGATGTTGAAGAACTATGGTCAAACGACAAATTCTATTCAGCTGTTTGGATTTCAGCTCGCAGCTCGACAAACAAGTCACACGCTAAAGCCGCGGATGCTTGAGCGCGTCAGAAATCATTTATGAATCACGAAGCGAAGCTGCAAGTTCCATGATCAAATGATATCAAATGCATGTTCATCAGCTGACCCATCTGCAAGCGAACTTCTTCTCCACTCCATGCAAGCTAGCTGACGCACATCCCCAGCCGTCCCAAACAATGAGGAAAAGGATAGCAAATTAATTTATTATAACTGCGGGTCCTCCTGAAATCCATGCTGTTAGCTGGTGAATGTGCTGGACCTGATCCACTAGCTGCTTCGCCTTTGCGCTGCAGCGACTCAATTCAGGCATCGAAAGGCCGTGAAACTATATTTGGTTATGAGATCCGATGTATACATGTCCACGATGTGGTCAACCCAGGTCCGCGGTAAAGAACCATAGATTCTCCGGATTCCAAGGCCCATTCCCCTTCAATTCCTCTTCCAAATCCTTCAATGTCTCTTCCGACAGCTGGTGATCCGCCCAGGCCATCGGCTTTGCGCCTGGACTCTTCGACCGTTCGGACAGCTCTTCCAGGTCGTAGACCTCACCAAAACGAGCATCATCCGCCCCCCACGGATCGAAGCGCACCTCTGCGGGGGCGGCGGCGGCTCCGGTGCTGCTGGCCCAAGCACGTCGATCCCAGGTGAGCGTCACCCGCCGCTCGGCCGGCGCCACCGCGTAGCGGCCCTCGTTAATGGACCTGCCAGCGGCCTGAACGGCGTCCTCCAACGCCGAGGCGGGGAAGTGCCAAAGTTCCTGTCTCAGAAGAACGGCGCCGTTGCGGTGGAACAAATAGAGCTGCTTCACTCTTTTGAGTTCGCCAACCACGCCCTTCTTGTGATCAGGCTCGTTCTGCCAGCAAAGGAGGACATCCTCCGGGGGCCAGGGACAAGTGGCAGGGAGAGGAACTTGGCGCAGCCGGGACTTCAGCATCTCGAAGGCGGATGGTGGTCTCAGAGGATTGAATCTGAGCTCAGACACGGGTGAATGAATGGTGTTCTGCTCGGTGTCCCAAACGCTACTTTCGATCACCGGGTTCTCTGGGACGGCGGAAGCTGGAAGATTGGTTGGAGGTGGTGCAGGAGCTGAAGTTGGCGCGTCCAAAGCTGGACGACTCAGCAGGTCAACGGCATTAGTTTCCGGTGCATCTTTGTAGGCCTGGCTTTTTTGGGGCTCTCCAGTTGAAATATCTTTCACCAACTCGGTGGCCACTGTCATGTTTGACTCTGCACGGGCTTCCTGCTGATCGAAGTCGCCTTGCTTCAACCTGCAATTCGCCAGATGTGCGAGCCACCCCCTGGTACATACTCATTCACCACGATGGCCATCAATTGAGCCCGTGTTATGCTTTGATATAGCCTTGCACGTGCTAACAAATCATCAATATGTCCTGTGCCCACGAGGCTGTTGCGTCGTCGAGTTTGAAGGAGGCAAAAGCAAGAATCTAGACAGAACGCGTACAGCCCTGGGTAGAAGAACAGCACTAATTAATTGTCAGAGATGGGAGTGTCTAAATGTGTCATTCACGGTCCGCTTGTGACAGAAGCTTCAAGATGCTTCGTGATGAGAGTTGACATGAGTTGACATGATTTAACTCTACCAGAAAACTCTCCCTCTCTCTCTTCCTAGTCTGGCTGTCACTCAGTCTCCCAAGGTCCCAAGCGGCCTGTGGGACTGATCTCCGCATCCATTCCAACAGCAACGATGATCAGTTGTTCCAAGCCTTTTGCATTGTCGATGGTATCCAGGATCATCATCTCGGCCTCAGAGGCCTGTTCCTCGTCTGCATGTGATGAGATCAGGTAGGACAGGGACTCCTCAAAGTCGATGAGACCCAGCTTCTTGCAAAGTGGCCTGCATCCAATATCTTCCTTCAGCTTTTCTTCCAAAAGCGGTTTGAACTCTCCGAGGAAATTAAGGTCGGGCACCATGATTGCAATGTTGTGGTGAAAAGTCAATCGTGGATATGAAGAACTCACATGCTTGAGCGCCTGCATCGTGTTTTGGCAGTAGTCTTCGTACAGTGGCGGAGCTCCCTTTCCTCGTTCAAAAATGAACGTCTTCAAAGGTGGGCCGTTGGAGCCTACTGAAGTCACATCATCACCCTGATCCGAATTCAGCTGAAACGACTTAGCACCGAGGACGATCCGCTCGGTGCAGCGGATCACCTGATCAAGAGATACTCGACGAACTGGGAATTCTAAAGGGTAATTCTGCACGAAGGCTGATGACTGCGAAGCATCTGACAAAATAATCCGCTTCTGGGAGCTCCGCAAAGTTTGAATGAGCAGTCCCTGGTGAACATCTGGTCGAAAAATGTCATGGGCTTCATCGACCACCGTAAGGACAAACTCGAAGGTGGGGTGTTCATCTCTTGCAAGCTCTATTCGGGCGCCTGACTTGATGCTGGCGGTCATGAGACTCTCGTAAGGGGCATGCAAAAACCTGACTCGAGAGAGCAACATCCTCACATCTTCCAGCACAAGCCTCTCTGATCCATCTCCAGTCATCGCCACAAACCATCGCAGAAAATGAAGGCAAAGACACTTGGAAGGAGCGACGAATAAGACCTGATCATCTGTGCTTGCACCCAGGGTCGAAAGAATCTTCCGAACTGCGATGAAGGTTTTCCCTGACCCCGCTGCTGCCGCCAGGTGAACATCTCCAGGCTCATCCAGCTCTCTGAGCTTCTCTTCTTGGTGTAGTGTTAGCTTGGTGGAACTCATCAGCACGTTCTTGTATGCTTTGACAAACTCAGTCTTCTCAATCTGTACCTGCCAAGCAAGGTCGTGTTGTTGCTTGAAGGCAGCCGCGTTGAGCGCGAATTCCAAATCGCCCGAGAGCACTGTGCTGCACAGCTTCTTCAATGCTTCCACATTCGCACTTTGAAGATCAAATGTGATTGCAGGATCACCATTGTGGAGCCTCTGCTCCTTGGGAATTGTTGTTACCACTTCCTGGCCCTCGGGAAGACAGTCTTTCAAGGCCTTCATGAAACTGGGCTCACTCAACTTGTCGGCCAACGTCTGTGGTGCTGCACTCTCATGTCGAAGGTGTTCGGTTGGGAATGTTTGGCCGGTCTCCTTGGACTTAACCTTCCACTCCAAGCCATCACCTGGCCGGCCGCTGGGCACCTCAAGGATTTCCCCTCTATGCCACTTGTTGTCGTGCCACGCGGCAACGGTTTGTCCACAAGAAAAGGAATCCTTGAGGAAATCTGACACATCCACTGGGTCATAAGCCCATGCATCACCATATCGTTCTCGCATGGCCTCTATCATCGCCACTTCAGCTTTTTGAGACCCGCCCAGGCCTCTCTTCTTCGGGTCTGAATCCCACAAAGATACCTTTGGATCTTGCAAATCTTTCATGGTGACAGTACCCTTCCCGGCCATGCCTGGGTAGAAAACCACCTTCAGGCGCTGACCTTGACGGACTCCATTTTTCATGTGCCCGAACCAAACCTTGGGTGTGATGCTGAGGTTTTGAACCGTTCAGAAGCCAACAAAAGCAAGTCATTACAATATATGGCAAGTAGCTAAGTGCAGGAAAGACACATAAAACCAATCGCACCCCCAGGCCGGGACACGACCACTCTTGTTCCACCGTCTCTTGGCTTCCTCCTTCCCCTTTTGTTTGTTAAACTCGCTCGCATCCTTCTGAAGGAGAACGGCACCCATCGCCTGCGCAACTCTTTCGGCCTCCTCCACCTTCTCCTTGGTGTAAGGCTCCCCAACCCAGTGCAGATAGCCAAACCTCAGAAATTGCAGGCGGAGCACGTGGAAAAGCGCGTTGCGGGCACGAAGGAAAAGCATGGAAAAGCACTAAGATTGATCCCTCTCGCCTGTCTGTGAGAGTGACGGTGTGAATTCTGACTATCTGTGTGAGGTTGGTGGGCTTGTAGCGCTGGTTGCCGTGGCAGGCTGCTGAATGCAGTATTGGCGTACCAATACGATCATGTCTGCACGGCCGTCCACTGCAGCTGATTCATTTGGTTCTTGTTGTGGAGTCTGCAAAAAGCAAACATGAGTCAACAACAGGTGACAAAGTTGAGGAGGGGCAGCAGCAGCAGCAGGCCAGAAAAGCTGGAGCAAACCAGAATCAGCAAACAAGAGCCAGCACCAACCAGGACCAGGAGCAGCAAACCAGCTACAAGGAAACAGCAGCACTGGCAAACTACCAGCTAGGCAGCAGACCAGCAGTGAAGGAACGGCAAAGAAACATCAGCAGCAGCAGCCGCAGCGGCAGCAGCAGGGAATGCGAGTGCACATTAAGGCTGGAAGGATATGGGAGGATCTTCCCTGCAAAGGAGATGAAAAAGGATCTCGTCCTGTCTTCCCTAGCAAATCCAAGACACGTCTCGTAATCTCTGTTCAAATCATTGCCCTCACCGTAGATCCACCGACAAAAGCAACGTCCTTTGGGATCCTCTGGGTCAGTGTGATGCTTACCCAAACCGTCTTCTTTTGTGCAAAAATACACGCATGCCACACTCTGCTCACTGAACTCACCCTCATCGCTGGTGAGAGCCACAAATCCAGTTTTGAACTTCCCTGGGTACGATGCATAGCAATACTTCGCTCCTTCCTTGATGCGACCTTTAAATGTTTTGTCTCCCATGCGGCTGCCGCTCAAC